ACATATCCTTGCTGCCCAGGGCCATTCTATTCTCCAGGTGGACACGTTTACTCGTCCCCCTCGTGGTAGTCGCCGTCAACCCCTCCGGGTTGTGAAGATTACCTTTGATGGTAGGACCCTTCCACCCTCTGTCATTCTTGCTGGTGCCAGGTGCTCTGTCCAGGAGTACATTCCTTCTCCTCGGCTCTGCAACAAGTGCTGGAGGTATGGGCATGGTGCCCTCCGCTGCTCCGGGACTGTCTCTCTCTGTCCTTTGTGTGGTGGCGAAGGTCACTCTAAGTCGGAGTGCACTTCTCCCCAGGCTCGTTGCCTCAACTGCGGTGAGGCCCATCCTACCTTCTCCCGTGCGTGTGTCCATTACAAGCTTGAGGCAGCCGTCCTCAACTTGAAGCACCGGGAGCGTTTATCTTTTCCCGAGGCGAAACGCCAGGTTCGCCGGCTCCCACCTTATGCTAATATCTCTTATGCTCGCGTGTTGCGCTCTTCCTCTACTCGTCCTTCCTGCCTTCCTCAGACTCACAACCGTTTCCGGGCCTTGGACCCTGATGCGCCCACTGCCCCCTCCTCTGTTCCTTTGGGTTCTCTCCCGAAGGATCCTCCTCCTGATCCTCTGTCCGGGGTTCCCCTTCCTTTTACCCGGTCTGCCGTGTCTCCTGTGTCTTCTTCCTCGTCCCCCTCCGATCCTCCTTCCCATCCTCTTCCTCCATCTATCGGCTCTCCCCACCGCCTGTCGGTGCGGGCGGATGTCCATCGCTCTCCTAGCGGCCGTCGTGTGTGCTCTCGTTCGGCTTCTCCTGTTGAGACACTGGAATCCGTTGCCCAGTACGTAGTTGCTGGGACACCGGTCTCTTTAAGTCAGAAGCGTAAGCCTGGCTCCTCTCCTTCCTCTTCCCCGGCGGGTAAGAAGGCTTCACTTTCTTCCTCAGCTCCTACGTCTGGTTCTGTTGCTCCTTCCCCTCCCGTTTCAGTGATTGCGCCCCCTGTTCCTGCTATGGAGGTTTCTTTGGCCCCTGCTTCCCTTTCGGTTGCTGCTCTTGCTGGGGTGCGCTCCCCTCTTTCTACTCCCCCTCTTCCTGCTGCTGTCCTTGACTGCTCCTCTCCGTTGTCTCCTCCTCTTCCTCCTCCTCCTCCTCCTCCGGACCCCGCCCGCCCACCTCTGATTTGTTCTCCCGTTTCCTTCCCTCCGTCTTTGCTCAGTTTACCCATGCCCCCTAACCCTGACTTTGCTGACCCTGATCCCGACCCTGATATTCTTTAACGTGCTCTGTTGCTCTTTCGCCTTGGTTTCTTCCTTGTTCTCTGGTTTTGTCCTTTCTCTTCTCGTCGTTGTCCATTCTTCAATGGAACGTTCGAGGTTATTACGCCAATTTCCTCGAACTCCAACTTCTGATTTCGCGGTTTTCGCCCCTTTGTGTCTGTCTCCAGGAGCCAATGCTTGGTGCTCCTGGTCGTTTTCATGGCTATTCCTTTCTCTCCCCCCCCCCAGCCGTTGCTGGGGCTTCTAATTCTTCTGCTCTCTTGATTCGTGCTGATGTTCCCTTTGTTCCTTTACTTTTTCCTTCACCTCTCCATTGTTCTGCTGCTCGTATCTTTGTGGGGAAATGGTACACAGTTTGTTCCATTTATCTCCCCCCGAGTGTCCCGCTCTCTCTTCCTGATTTGAAACACCTCCTAGACTCCTTGCCGGAGCCTGTGCTCCTGCTGGGTGACTTCAATTGTCGTCATTCCCTTTGGGGTGACGTTCTGACGAATACCCGGGGTCGCCTCCTTGAGCCGTTTCTCCTCTCTTCTTCCCTATCTCTTCTGAATTCTGGTGAGCCCACTCATTTGGACTCTCGGACTCGCACCCTTTCTTGTCTTGATCTTTCTCTCTGCTCTTCTTCTCTTTACTTAGATTTCACGTGGCAGGTTCTTGATGACCTCCATGGAAGTGATCATTTCCCCATCCTTGTTTCCTTTTTCTCTTTTCGCCCTTCCCTCTCTTTCCCTAGGTGGCAGTTTGCTAAGGCAGACTGGACCCTATTTACCCTCAGTGCTGCTCTCTCTGACCTCTCCCTTCTGCCTCTCTCTCGCGCTCTCCTCCTTTTTCATGACACTGTCTTCAACGCTGCCCTCCGCTCTATTCCTCACTCTTCCTCTCGGGGTCCGCGGAAGTGCGTTCCCTGGTGGAATGCGGACTGTGCTCGGACTGTCCGCTGTACTCTTAGAGAACGGAAATATTATTTATTCACAAACTTTCCGATTTTAATAATTTAATTGATCAAATTTGAATTCACAAACACAATTATCACCATATATAAACAGGAGGACGTGCAATGTGTGGTTGGTCCCCCTCGTGAAAGCTGCAAGTGGAGGCTTGTTGGTCCAGTCTTACCTTAAGTGGGATATTTGAGGTGCTTTTTTCTTGTCCTAAATGGGGAGGTGAAGAGGTGTCAGACTTTGCGTTTGCTGATGATTTGTTAGTGGCAGCAGAAACGATTAACGAATTACAGGCTTTATATAACATATTTGTCGCTCACAGCGTGGATCTGGCCATAAGGTGTATGCAGCCAGGTGCCGTACGCTATGCTTACAAATGGCCGGGCATCGAACACATGGTTTGTTCCCACCGGATGGGTATATTGTGTCAGTATCGATGTCATTGCTAATATGAGTGTTGCGGACGAGTACAAGTAAGACATACTTATCGGGGTCTGAGGCAGACGTCTAACCAACATCACTAAGGGCCCCTGCTCCCCTCAAACCCCAACAGAGGCTATACTTAAGCGTCACCTAATTTGCAAAATGAACCATTGGCGGGTACTCGGACGCGTGTTTAAGACGGAGTTGACGCACCTCAATAGGCGATTGCGGCAGGCCATTTGTGGCTAGCTTCGACTGCCTAACGATACTCCCAATGCCTTCTTCCATGCTGACGTAAAGGACGGTGGACTAGGAATTCTCGACTTTGCAGCATCAATCCACCTACTAAAGAACAAGCGGCTCGGGACGATGGTTGAGTTCGAGGATCCAATGACATCGGCTCTCCTGCCCGCATTCCAAGCTTGAATGCGTCGATGGGTAGACCCGACCACGGCCACTGGAACCCCTTCTAACAGTACGTCTGAGCGCTCTAGGGTTTGGAAAGCAAAACTGTACAGCATGGTTGATGGTGTCGGCCTTGCATCTGCTTATGAGGTTTCATCTTGCCACAAGTGGGTTTCGTCGGATACCCGTCTGCTAAGCGGAGGAGATTTTGCCCATGTCATCCAGATTAGAGCAAACGCTGTAGCCCCTCCGTCTAGAGCTGTTAGGGTCAGAACCGGGGCTAATGGTCCCTGTGATGGTTGCCGGAGACCAGGGACTCTGGGACACATATCCCAAGCCTGCTACAAGACACATGGGCTCGGGAGTAACGCCATGACAATATCACCCGGTTCGTAGCTGGTCGCCTGCGGCAGAGGTTTAGTGGTGGAACATAAGGTTCGTATACCGGATGGAGGGAACTTCTGCAAGCCTGACATCATTGCTGCAAAGGAGACGAGGCTAATATATATTAGACACCCAGGTCTCTGCTGATAGCCATCAACACTGCCACTCTTCTGGTCAAAAAAAGGTGTTCAGCAGCTGGAGACCTTCAGAAATACTGTCAAGCATTATTCTCCTTTGCGATAGCAGCCACATAGTAAGGAATGACGATTTAAATGCGACCTCAGCACAGAGTATACATTCACTAAAAACAAATACCACTTACGGGCTATTCATGCCCGTGCCACCTCTTGGGTGGCTTAATCTTCATCAATCAATCTCTTCTGATAACTTCCCACCCTCCCGTCCACATCAGAGCAAGTGTGACAAGTATTGCACCCCAGAGATCCTTCAACAGGTCAGGGAATATGCCGGTGAGCACACAGTATCCACCTCTTCTATCACGCTAAACTAGAGAGGGGGAAGGTGCAGGGGGAGTGCACGTGAGCTTCTGGATGTCGGCCTCACCAAGAGCAACCTTGAGATTTCCTCTGTGAAAGCCCTAACGTAGACGTATTCCTTCTTCAGAATATGGTCCAAGTCCACGTCAAGGGGCAGACCACCTTAGCTCCAGGATCACAGTGCAATGGGTACACAGGATGAAATATAATTGTAATGAGGAGACCCACAGCCAGGATAGCTGGTAGCTAACTACCTAAGTAGGGCCGTCATTGAGGGTACCACTTCCCCGAATGGTTTCTCACAGGAGGGTGGACGACCTGGCCGGAGCCCACGAGTGGGTATGGCGGTGCCCGGAGGGACCCCATGCCCATACGTGACAACCCTCCCGCTCCGGGGCCTTGCCAGGAGCTTCCTCTTTGAAGTATGTTTAAATGTATGCTGTCGTCAAAGTCATCATACCAGACGCTTAGGCAGCTTGTTGTTTTGCCCTCAGCTTTAGCCCATTTTAATGATATACTGTGAACCTATCCCTTTGTGTGCTGTGTCTTATATAAGAAAAACAAAATACAAAGATTTTTCCATTGTACTAATCATTATTATTATCATCTTAACTCTAGTGAGTCAGATGTACCAACTAACCATTTATATATATTTTAGTTTGTGTTGGAAGGGAAATATGTGTGCTTAAGGTGCACCTGCCTCTCCCCATGTCCTGTGGCTGAGGGCAACGGGCGCCCTCAAGCTATTTATTTATTTATTTATTTATTTATTTATTTATATACAAGAAGGTACATTGGGTTATTGAGAGTACATAGCATTGATACTTTTACATTCTTGTAAAGCCACAAGCACTCATAGCGTTTCGGCAGAAACCCGAATATATGGGAGGCTATATAAAAATAGAAACCCGAAGATTATATGAAAACCTTAAATCCCCCTAAGTGGTAAGGGGAGGAAGGCAACAAAATAGCCCCCAATGACGTGGTCGAGCACTTATAAAACCTCCCGCTCTTTTTCTACATGCTTATTCACTTCCATTCTTTGCATCTTTAAGATTCTTCATCAATCAAAAGCTTATTAAAAATTATATCTTTACTAACAAGTTTTAATATCCTTTTTCTTATCCAGCGAACCTCGGTCTAACATCTCTGCATTGAAAATATAAGTTTATCCTCCGTTTTCTGTTCCTGGGAGAGCCTAAAAATAAGCTTGGGTCCGAACACAACTCTACTTTACCATCCTGTGGTTAGTTCCAGTTAAACCTCGTATTGTAACTATTTATCCTTCTCTCAGGCCTCGGGATATAGTAAACTCTGCAAGATTTAGTTCATATTTGTGGGTTGCAAGCGACGGAAACTTGCAGTAGGACGGTCGTGGTTTTCCAGGTCTCTACCTAATCAATGCCTCCACCTCCGCCACGGTCTCCGGCAGTCTGGTATGACTGGTCTCAGGCAGCAGGAGAGCCAGGAGACCTGCTGATATTGAGAGCAGACCGAAGACCGTCGATGGAACCGCGTAGTGCAGCTCACCCTGTTAGGGGGACGACAGTGTTATTAATCTCTTGATCTGTCTCTGAGTGAATAATTTTTATTGTTCACAATAAACAAAGAAAATAAACATCAACAAAGTTAATGGCAAACCATAATATTTCTCATAAGCCATTACCACGAAATACCTTCACTAAATAAACCCTCTAGTAATACCAGAGATAGGAATACATTTTTAAACAGAAGAGATGAAAAGCCACATTCAGTGTTACCAGATAATGGTAAAGGCTTATAAGTCACAACCGAGAAGGAATACTTCAACATCTTCCCAGACGCCCCTTAATTACTGGTAATTCAAGGTGCGTCCATGATGCAATAACCTTCCATCAACAAGTGCGATGAAGGAAGGTTATTGCACATTGTAAAGGGGGATTGTAAAACTGGGGTAGCAAGAGGAGGTACAGGAGAGTGTCTATGAGAGCGGGTCGAGTCATGGAAGTCGAAGCAAAGGAGAAGGGAAGGGAAGTATCAGGAGAAAGCGCCAAGCCATTAGACTATATAGCACCTGGAAGGAATCAGGATAAGGATTTTGGATGTGACGGGGGGTGGGGGAGGGGGGACGAAATGGTGCCCAACCACTTGGACGGTCGGGGATTGAACGCTGACTTACTTGAAACGAATCCTTCGTCCACCCCAAGTGGAGAAAATACACAAATTTTTAGTGGAAGGCTGATGATTCAAAATTAAAATTAAGGTCAGTGAATTTTATGAGATAAATTCTTTACTCGGAATTGAAGAAAGAATTGGAACAGCTTACACTACCAACAAGGAGGCGAGGCAACATGGCGACGGCTGGAGGTGCGCACAGCGTCTCTCCTTGAAATAGTTACGTTACCATTTAGGGTTTTAAGACACCACTGTTACATGGCACACATTTAGACCAAGATGGTCTCCCGGTCTTGGAGGAGGATCCAGAGGGAGTTTTCCAGGACAGTAAACATCACAGTAAGACAAACAGATTAGAGGCGAAACGCCGCCAGCATCCAGAGGTAGAGACCGCCCCCCGCGGCCTCAGTATTAACATCCTCCGCTCACCTAAGGTAGGACAAGTTCTCCTAGTTTGAAAACGTTCATCATTGCCTTTGATGACGGTACGTCCGAAGATAGGAGCGTTTTCAGAAATAGCAGGGCACACAGTATCCTATATCATGCCATTCCCAACATATTAAGATCGAAGTGTACGATAACAGACCAAATAAAACTTTGAACTTAATCGCAGTGGATCACAAACACAGCGATGAACAAGAGCTTTCAGACGTTACTGACATCTGTGGATACATAGTCAGAAGCTACAAGCCACCAGATGACCTATTAGCGAAATATGTAATCCGACATGTTGTAGACATTAATGTAGACGACATCAAGGCACAACTTCAGGCAGATGACATTCCAATCTTCGGAGTCAAAAATGTATGTGTAGAGCAAACGGAGAATTGAGTGATACAGGCACCGCCCTGCTTACTTTTCTGGACTACTTTCCCCATGATCGGGTCTGGATTAACAGCTTCCTCCATAAACTAGAAGTGTACGTACCACGTCCAACTCAGTGCTTTAGATGGAAAGGTTTTAAAAATACATCGAAAGGCTGCACGACATTAGCTGTGGGAAATGCGACATCGCATTGACATTAGCTGTGGAAAATGCTCTGGTTCCCATTACACACAAGACTGTGCATCAGATATACTCACCTGCTCAAACTCTGGTGGTGATCATGACTTCACATTAAAACAATGTCCTTCTTACATAGCAGCACAAACTAAGGAATTGTGCCCATCCACTTGGACTGGACGGTAGAGTGACGGTCTTGCTTCATGCAGGTAGGCGTTCAATCCCCGACCGTCCAAGTGGTTGGGCACCATTCCTTTCCTCCCTGTCTCATCCCAAATCCTTATCCTGATCCCTTCCCAGTGCTATATAGTCATAACAGCTTGGCGCTTCCCCCTCTGACAATTTCCTTCTCTTTCCTACCAACATCCTGCAATACAGTAGTGCACTGAAACAATCTTGACAGTCTCCGTGGTGTAGTGGTAAGACACTCGCCTGGCGTTCCGCGAGCGCTATGTCATGGGTTCGTATCCTGGCCGGGGAGGATTTACTGGGCGCAATTCCTTAACTGTAGCCTCTGTTTAACGCAACAGTAAAATGTGTACTTGGATGAAAAAACGATTCTTCGCGGCAGGGGATCGTATTCCAGGGACCGTAAGAATAAGGACTTGCCCGAAACGCTACGCGTACTAGTGGCTGTACAAGAATGTAACAACTCTTGTATATATCTCAACAACAACAACAATCTAATTCAGTCCATCATCAACCGCTACCTCACACTCAACCCCAACATCTGCGTGTACCTGATGTATCTATCACTGACAACCCTGCGTCCCTGAGTTCAATCCTCTCTCACAAAACGTACAACTGAGTCCCGATCTTGTTGAAACACTTGTCATTCGCATTGAAAATGAACTAGAAAAGACACTAGACCAATTCCTAACTAAATTCTTTACACAAGTAAACCAACCCATCCCTGAGGCTGACCTACAGAGAATGACATCCACAGAACGCAGCTACCTTGCTGTATGAAAATCGTTTGTACTGATGATTGATAAAGATTAAGCCACCCAAGAAGAGGCATGGGTATGAATATACATAATTGAACTAATCTGATTTTGAACTGATGCTGGACAAACTCCTAAATAACTACTTAGCACACCTTACCCAAGTAACTTCCCAGGTTAACTTGCCACCACCCCCAACCACCGGCACCAAGAGTAAGAACCCCCCCAGCTGAGCAAACCTCCCAACGACCTGGCACTTTGACTGAAAAAACACATAAACCACACTCTCCCACGACACATCCTCCAACCACTCCTAGATATTCAACACGGTGTACTACTGGCTCGTGAGGGCAGACCGATGCAATCACATCCCAGACGTAATGATCCGAAATACGACAACATGATATAACGCATCCTCAACTAACCTAATCCAACCTAACCTAACCTTATACACATTAACCCAATGCTACTTAATGTACGCTAACTTACCCTTCCATAATCTTCCCTAACTTATCTGAATTGCGACTAACTCCCAAATATACTTCGACTCACAAACTCAGTCTCCTGACTAAACCACACACTCTTCATAGAACAGCAACACCGCTACCACCATCAACACAATTCCTCATCTTTACTCTCCTCAGTCCATTTCCACTCATATGTTTAATCCTGTCTTTATCCTCACACAAATAGAAGACATCGATAACTTCCAACCTCTGCCAAATGATAACCAATGATGCGCCGCTGTGAGTGCAACACTTTCAACATCACCACTCGTGCAGTCATCAGGAGGAAAAACCTTCATGCAAACTGCATGTATCGCGAAGAAGAATAAGAATTCGAACAAAATTATTATTTAATTAATTCATGGTGTTGGGGGACAGAGAAGCCACTCATAAAGATAGAAAGGCAACGTATAAATCATAAAAAACATATATTTTTTTTTGCAAGAGAATGAAAACTTGTAGAGGAAAATTACACTATATTTTCGATGTTCCTAAATTTCATAATAATATTTATCGCATAACCTAAAATGTTGAATAATAGTTATCCCGTAACTTACATGCTTTGTTTTCTATTCATAGTAAGAGAAAATGAAAAATATATAAGGTTAAACTAAGAAAATTACTATACGTGGCCTTAACGTGGTAATTTTTTTTTTTTTTGAGATATATACAAGAGTTGTTACATTCTTGTACAGCCACTAGTACGCGTAGCGTTTCGGGCAAGTCCTTAATCCTATGGTCCCTGGAATACGATCCCCTGCCGCGAAGAATCGTTTTTTCATCCAAGTACACATTTTACTGTTGCGTTAAACAGAGGCTACAGTTAAGGAATTGCGCCCAGTAAATCCTCCCCGGCCAGGATACGAACCCATGACATAGCGCTCGCGGAACGCCAGGCGAGTGTCTTACCACTACACCACGGAGACTGTTCGTTTTTGGTCTACATTCTCTGGTGATGATGAAGCTACGAGCGTCATTGCCAGTAAACACTAAACATTGATGACTTTTCATTCATAATAACAATGTTTATGTTCCTATTAGGAAGCAGTGAGAGTTATATGAGTGTGTGATCCAGTGTACACTGGGGGCCTGACAGTACACTGTGATCCTGTGATTACTGGTACAATGTGATCATGTGATCCTGTGTACATGGGGAGGGGTCTGGCCGCTGAGTGGACAATGCACGGGGTTCTTAGTCCTAAGGGTCCAGGTTCGATCCTCGGCGAAGGCGGAAACAAATGGGCAGAGTTTCTTTCACCCTGATATATATTGGTACCTGTTCGTCTACAAATAGGTACCTGGGAGTTAGACAGCTGCTACGGGCTGCTTCCTGGGATGTGTGTGTGAAAATTAGAATTAAGGACTTGCCCGAAATGCTATGAGTGCTAGTGACTGTACAAGAATGTAAGAACTCTTGTATATTTATTAAAAAAAGCACTAATTGACGTATAGTTCAGTCTAAGGGCAGCATCACATGTGGGACTCACCAAGAGGTCAACGATGAAAGGGGCGAGGGCGGAGCCGAGCCTGGCAAACATGGAGGAGGCTCCGACAGCGATGTTCCTGACGCCTGTCGGCACCAGTTCTGCTGAATAGATGTAGCAGACGGCGAAGGCAGCAGAGTTGAAGAACTTGCCCGCTGTTGCCAGGGTCAGGTTGACCCACACCTGGTCTGTAGGGAGGAGAGAAGCCATTCTTGATAATAATGCAGGAATTTAGTAACTATTACGGCACCTTACTAAGTCGGAGCTTATTGACAACCAGAAGGTAAACCTAAAGTATACCTTCTTGTTGGTCAGTAAGCACTTGTGTGGCCCTAATAACCACGGGTGCAGTGCCAATTTCATAGGTGCCGGAGCTCTGGTGGGCCTGACAAAACCTATCATTTCCTATCCTGTTTCTATATATGTCACACGATTTCGTGTTTGTTCTCACGAATTGTCGGGAATTCCGACAACCATTACTAATAACTGACCTGCTTAATTCAACTAGTTAGGTCAGTCCATTACTAACAATACTAATACTACTAAATCTGTCGAGGAGAGAGATTCTCTAGGAAAAGTGGGAAGGTATTGCCTCAGCCTCACCGGCCAGTATCTAATATTCTCTTCATAAATTAAAATACTTCCAGTTATAATTTAAATGTTAAAGAAAGCATTCATTAAATACTAGATATAATATTAATTAACAAATACCTAAGTGTCTTCCTCCATAGTTGATAATAAAATCCGCAGGAATAACTTGTAAACAGCTCAGTAATGAGTGTAAATCTTGGGGGATGCTCATGGGTGTAAATCTTGGGGGGATGCTCATGGGTGTAAATCTTGGGGGATGCTCATGGGTGTAAATCTTGGGGGGATGCTCATGGGTGTAAATCTTGGGTGATGCTCATGGGTGTAAATCTTGGGGGGATGCTCATGGGTGTAAATCTTGGGGGGATGCTCATGGGTGTAAATCTTGGGGGGATGCTCATGGGTGTAAATCTTGGGGGGATGCTCATGGGTGTAAATCTTGGGGGGATGCTCATGGGTGTAAATCTTGGGGGGATGCTCATGGGTGTAAATCTTGGGGGATGCTCATGGGTGTAAATCTTGGGGGGATGCTCATGGGTGTAAATCTTGGGGGGATGCTCATGGGTGTAAATCTTGGGGGGATGCTCATGGGTGTAAATCTTGGGGGGATGCTCATGGGTGTAAATCTTGGGGGGATGCTCATGGGTGTAAATCTTGGGGGATGCTCATGGGTGTAAATCTTGGTGAATCATGCGTCCATGATCCTCCACATAGTCTCTAAAGGCATTTAGTGCAGAGTAAGAAAAAAGCTTAAACCTCTTACTAAAAGATAATATTTCAGCTTCTCCGTAATTAGGTGGTATTTCATCAGGCCAGCCGCCAGTCTTTTTCAAGGCCACACATTTCACTTAGCAGTGATTTATACATACTTTGAGGTTCAGAACCTTGAGAGCCTTTCATGGGTGTTGTCGAGAACATACGGTGCTGCGAATTATTCACAAGACTAGTAAGAAACTTGATAATTACTGGAGACAATTTTCTTCTTACTTGTTATGGTAATTCCCCCAAACTTCACATTTTCAGGGGCCTTTTGAGCTTCTAAAGTTCTAGTGACAGGTTTCTCTTTTAGTCCATGCAATGACCTTATGCTCCGTTGAATCAGTTTGTCTGCATACACAATCCAAATAGTGCGTTTCTGTAGACACTCGGACAGTAACCCAAAGTTCAGACAACGTGTCATACATCTATCATCATTCTAATATGCAAGAAGAACCTCACGTCTCTGGATCAACTCATAAGGTCAGCAGACGTCTAGATGTTACCACTTGTGGCGCGACATTCTCCCCTCCTAGCGGCGTCACCATCACCGAAGGGTACTCCAGTCGCACACAGAATAGGGGGTCACAAACACACACCCCGGCCTTGTACCCTGTGAAGAGTGAAGGAGGACCAATGGTCCCTCTTGGGTTGCGGCCTCTTCTTGATAGTCAATACACAGGTTCCGGACCATTGACCTGAGGCCTGGCCGGAGACCGGACCCGTTGATCCCCGAAAGCTTTATGAGATAGGTAAGTAGGTAGCCACCATGAAAAAACACCAAATATATCAGGGACGCCAACCTGACTGGCATCCTTAGTTGTTACCAGTTAAATTTCAATGTAGTGGTACTGGCTGTGTCGCAGGATAAGCTCTGATGGCAGCTCTCACATTCGGATCACAAACTCCGGTAAACAGTTAACAAAGTGCACATGAGGGTTAATACCAAACACAGAGTTGAGAGTAACACATGTTCGCTGAACAATATTTGCAATTACTTGAGGCCAACACAATTTTGGCGGTCTTTACGTTATTGCAACACTTCAAAATGTAACAAATATAACTGGCAACACTGCCCAAGCTTCTCTCCACTGCAAATTAGTACCTTCTACAGGCACCACATGGAGTGTTTTTTTTTCATTTAAGACATTCAGGAGGGAAGCAGTACCTGTGGTAACACACTCGCCCCACGTTTCGAGTGCGATTTGGCCTGGGTTCGTATCCTGGCCAGGGAGGATTGACTAGGCGACAATCCTGAACTATACGCCACTCTTCACCCAGCAATGAAAGTGTACCTGGTTATTAAACGTTTTGGCGGAAGGTTATTATTTGTTAGTGCTCACAAAATTATTATTGTGAATGGAAAAATTAAGATTAGGGACCTGCCTGAAACACTATGCATGGCTGTGGCTTTACAAGAATGTAAAAACTCTCGTATATATAAATAAAATAAAAAATAGACTGCTGATAAACTAAATCACATCGTTGGATACTGGTAGGTCAATTATAACACAAATAAATTATCAATGCACTTGACGGTATATTGTTTTCTATAATCATAACCGGTTGCCACAATTAGTAGCCTAGTAACATAACATAAGAACATAAGAACAAAGGCAACTGCAGAAGGCCTGTTGGCCCATACGAGGCAGCTCCTATCTATAACCACCCAATCCCACTCATATACTTGTCCAACCCGCGCTTGAAACAATCAAGGGACCCCACCTCCACAATGTTACGCGGCAATTGGTTCCACAAATCAACAACCCTGTTACTGAACCAGTATTTACCCAAGTCTTTCCTAAATCTAAACTTATCCTTAGATGGACTGTAGACTCGGCTCTCCTGTCTCAGTGGACTGTTGTTATTGGCAGACTGGTCACCAGAGCATCCTCTTGATCATTTCCAGTCATTCTTTTTGAAAAATAGTACTAGGTTTAACAGAAGGTCTCAGACGCTCTTCGCTCCCAAAAACCCAAGCATTGCAGGGTACAGTTCCCAGAGTCCACACTCTACAACCAGCTGGGGCCAGATTCACGAAGCAGTTACGCAAGCACTTACGTACCTGTACATCTTTTCTCAATCTTTGGAGACTTTGTTTACAATTATTTAACAGTTAATGAGCTCCGAAGCACCAGGAGACTGTTTAAAACAATAGCAACAGTTGATTTGAAGGTTTTCATGCTTGTAAACTGTTTAATAAATGTAACCAAAGCCGTCAAAGATTGAGGAAAGATGTACACGTTCGTAAGTGCTTCGAGAATCTGGCCTGGCACAACCGGTAGGTCGTCGGTCAGGACAGCCCCTATTGTCTCAGGTCGTCCCAAATCCCAGGAGCGGCTCTAAAGTTACTCAGTTGGCCTTTCCAGCCTGCCCATCCGGTAGACTAGTTGTCTAACCCGTCTCGAAGTCCCACTTCTCGCGATGTGAGCACTCCCGGATGCTTCCTGGGCAGTTACTAGGCGTCTCCAATGGCTTCAACCTTGATTTGTACCAGCTGGCGTCCACCTGCACGGACTAGACTGCTTCTTGCTGGAGAGACAAATGTTGCGTCCATCTTCCACGGTCGCTTAGAGTGCGGTGACGCCACTCGAGTCTCCTGCTTACGACTCGGGCGATGACGTCTCGTCACGTCACGCGACAGAGCGTTCTAATTGGCCGCATTCCCGGCGGCCAGCAAATCACAAATCACGCTTTCCTAGAGACCCGGTGTCTGGCATCAGGTTTGACTTTTGGAAGGAAATACTTCCTCCTCCCCGGCTATCAGCCATCATTCCTCTCAGGGTGGGCGTCTTACCCGCCTACACCCAACTTGTAACTAACATAACACAGCATTCTGGGTTTATTCTTTTCCTTAAACGAAGATAAAATAAACTAAGGGGCTTCTGGACTATTTACAGGGTACTGTTGACCAGACCACACACTAGAAGGTGAAGGGACGACGACGTTTCGGTCCGTCCTGGACCATTCTCAAGTCGATTGTCGACTTGATCTGAACGACGACACAATCGACTTGAGAATGGTCCAGGACGGACTGAAACGTCATCGTCCCTTCACCTTCTAGTGTGCGGTCTGTCAACATACTTTAGCCACGTTATTGTGACTCATCGCCTGCACAGGGTACTGTATAACTGAAGGTGGGAGAAGAGTGTAATTTGCCGGTACACATTACACACTGCTAGGCTTAGGCTCGGCTACAAGTACCTTGGGAAGTTTGCATCATCTCCTGCTGTTGATTTGACTAAATGTAAACTCTGTCAGCGGAACTCTTCACATACTTTGCGTCATTATATATATAATGGAATGTATAAAAATCGTGGAATTCAGAGATATCACCATCAATTGAGTCCAAGAAATGTGTAAGTACTTCATTCATAATGACGTACTGCCGGGAATCTGAGCGAAGTAAAAAAATTTGCTTATTGTAGGTACAGCCTGCACATGACTGTAAAGCTGCCGCCCAGTTGGGTGGGTGTGGAGCAAGACTAGTAACTGTGTGACTCACCATAGATGTAAAGTGCCTTGTATAGTGACTGTTCAGCCTCTTGTTGAATCACTTATGTTATACAAAGACTATTATGTAATTGTATTTGTGCATATATGTATGTGTGTGTGTGTGTGTGTGTGTGTATGTGTGTGTGTGTGTGTGTGTGTGTGTGTGTGTGTGTGTGTGTGTGTGTGTGTGTGTGTGTGTGTGTGTGTGTGTGTACTCACCTATATATACTCACCTATTTGTGCTTGCGGGGGTTAAGCTTTGGCTCTTTTGTCCTGCCTCTTAACTGTCAATCAACTGGTGTACAGATTCCTGAGCCTACTGAGCTCTGTCATATCTACATTTGAAACT